AGCAGGATGTGCTCGGTATATCTCTTCCGGATGGCGGGTTTGCTACCGTGCTGTTCGGTTGAACTGTGCGGGACTCTTCTTTCGAAACGGACACGTTGGCTTTCGGTTCTCGGTTTACCTCGTCGTTGTGGAGTTGTGTATGATGCCGTTTCTGACACTTTTGGCAGCACCTCGGTGATGAACACTCCTTGGAGCTGTGCCCCTTGCGCAGACAGTTGAAACACACACCAGTTGTGCGTACCTTCTCCATACGTTTGTCAAAGGACATGTTACCAAGCGCATTGCATTGGTAGTTGCGATGTGCACCTTGGCAGAAATCACAAACCTCCTTGCTGATTGGTGTGGTTGCGGCGGCATGGACCTTCGGGTTGCTTGCTTTCGGTTGGAATGCTTGTACCTTCGGGGTCGATTTGGAAGCGGGCTGCGCATTAACCTTCTGGAAAGCTGTTTCGCAGTTCTCCAACATTTCACATCTCGATTGCAGGAACGTAATGGTTTGCGCATACTTGGGTAGCACGCCCTTCTTCTGTGTGCCTTCCCATGCCATCCTGGTCGTGTTGTCCATGGCGGTCGTCAGCATATGAACCAGAAACAAATCGGAAATACCGAGGAATTCCTGTTCAAGATACTTCAGGCTCTCGACGTGGCGGGTGCACTCATCGAGCAGACGTCGCACCTCCTTGTGGGATCCGGATGACATTCCTTGCAAGTTGAACAGACCACGAACGTGCGTCTCGACTATGATCCTTTTGTTTTCATAGCGATCGGTGAGAATGGTCCACGCTTGCTGGTAATTACCTTCGCTGATTACTTTGGCATCCAGAGCACCTGTTGCTGCACCAACCAGAGCCTTGTCCAGATGATACAGCTTGATCGCGTTCGAGTCTCCTGAGTTGGCCATCAAGTCTTGAAATATGGCCTTGAACTTCGGCCAGTTGGCATAATCACCATCGAAGGTTGGAATTGGAGCCTTCAACGGTTGCTGTTGGACGATGATTTGTTGTTGCGGGGCTTGAGAACGAACACTGGCATTTTCGTGTGCCATGATTAGCTCATCGATGGTCGTGCGGACGAAGTTGTATCGGTCTTCAAATGCGACATAAACTTCCTCCTGCTGTTGAAAACTTTCTTGGGGAATGATAGCAACCAGTTTGCTATGCACTGCGCTGTATTCGTTGTAGGCCACATCGATATTCTTCATGTACGTCCTGAGTTGTGAGAGGCTCACCAAGTTTCGAGCGGCAACAAGCGCCCTTTGCACACGCACTACTTTCATGGTGACCTGGTCTCGCTGGCGGGAAAGCGACGTTATTTCCTTCACGGTTTCGGAATCAGCACTGATTTCCCATTCTGCAAATCCTTCGAATATTGCTGACTCGTCGTGCTGCTTCTCCTTGCCTGTGCCCTCAACTGCTTCCTTAGCAGCAGGCTTACCTTTCGGGGTTCGATCCACTGGCATAATGAACTCGTTGTCACGTCGTACGTTACACACAGCACGAGCACGTATGGTTTCGGAATAGCGGTTCTGTAGAAAAATCCTTCGGCGGGCGGGTTGAAACTTGCGAATCGGATTCGCAAGCGGCGGTGATCAATAATTGATTCCTCTCCTGGCGGTACACGTCGTGGTTGGCACACCACGGAAGCGTGTCGGAATACACTCGGTCGAGTGGCGATGGTGTCGAATCCTTTCCTACGGGCGGCGCTGGATCCGGCTCGAAGGACCACTATGTTGGCGCGTTTACCGTGGCCAACTCCGGTGGGTTGGAAGTGGACTGTATTTCGTTCGGATTGAAAGATTCAACACACTAATCAAATTATCACCTTAACACTACTTTTATTCTAACTAGTTCACTATTTCTCTACAGATTGCTTTCTTACTTCACTGGATGTAACTTGGATGGTGGTCGGAATAATACTCAAAAAAACGCTGGCTGGCTGTGTCGCTTTTATAGCAGTCGTCCTATCGTATTTTGCTACTTTTGGTCCTATATACTTGCCTGCCGTGCGCTGCGGCGAGCAGCAGGCAGCAGCATGTTGAAGAGAAGTATATAGTGCTTCTCCCTTCTCGTTCGGTGTCCTTAAAATTCTACCTGGAGTGCGTTGTTGCCACGATGGGTGGTTTGAATGACGATCGTTTGCGTTGTGTTTTGGAAGCTACTATAGCTTGTTTCGCACGGAACAATCACTGATACAACTATGCAAAATTGAAGACAATGAATAAAAAATAAAATTAATCGCTAGTTTGAGCATCATTTCACTTTTATTTAGTTCTAGCTCAATATTCATCAAATGAATTTTTTAGTTTTGTTAGTAACGATACCTTTTCATGGTATCAGATGTAATGAATCCTAACTTTTCAATAGGGCCTGTGTAGAAAAACACTAATGAAATAAACATATCTATATTGCAAAAACGGCTTGCTTGATTGCATTGGTGTCTTCGAGAAAGTTGTGCAAAATTAAAATGCAATTCTTGAAAAAATATACACGGTTGAAAAACATGTGTTTGTAGCAAATATTATGAGCTTCAATGAGGCTTAAAACGAAAATTTCCAAAAATGTACTTTTTGAGAAATTATTTTTTTTAATAAGAAATATATTTTTTTTTTCATTGAAACAAACGAATTTTTTTACAGTGTATATTTTTAACATTATTGCCAAAATAATATCTACAACTTTGCTCAAGACACCAAATTAATCGAACAAAGCGTTTCAGCAATATAATTTTTTTAACTCATTAGTTCTATTTTTACACAGGCCCTGTTAGAAAAGTAGTCGTGATTCAATTTGAAGAACTGATAACACAAATTGGCATCTTTACTAAAAAAGAACAACTGTGCAAATTTTCATCAAAATCGGAGCCGACAAATTAAAAAAAAATTAAAAAATTCGTCAATCTGTAGAGAATTGCTCTGTACACAAAATCAACTTTGTTCAAATCAAAACAAAAAAAAACTAACCTATCTGGTGGATGATGGCACAAGCTTCCAAGAAAATTCTATTACAGTGAACCACATTATTTTAATGGATTTCTTCGCCAGTTAGTCGTCTGTCACTTCGTTTGTGGTTTAAGCGGAATCCCAACGCTTCGGTCAGGGATGTGGCCAAAAAGTTGAATCTGTTCAAGTCTTTCGTTCAGAGATCCAAGGACGGGGCACGCTATGTTTTAAGGCGACTTTTATTCAAAGTGAATCTACCTAAAATTTTATTCTAGATGATAGTGTGGGACCTCTAGTTTCATAATCTATAAGATTTAAAATATTTCATCGGTGAAATTTTTTTCGAGCCGGCGCCGGTGTGTTGTGGTAAGCGTGACTGCTTTCTAACACCCCAGTGGGTCTGGGTTCAATCCCCAGCCGAGGTCGGTGGGATTTTTCTGAGGCATAAAAATCTCTGGTCACGTCTTCCTTCGGAAGGGAAGTAAAGCCGTTGGTCCCGGCCCATGTGTGTTGTGAATGGGTGCGTAATGGAGGCGAACCAGCCCAAGGCTGAAAGCCTCGCTAATAAAGATAAATTAATTAATGAATGGGTGCGATATCCTACGCAGGTGTGGAAGCTGCCTTCCTGCACATTCGGTTGCCGTCAATGGATGGCAATCGATGTCCGTCGGTGATTGGCACTAGATTGCGGAACAGAGACCGACGTTAAATGAAGGAAAAAAAAAAATTTTTTTCGTTTTTTATGATTTATTTTTAACGTAAAAATTCGTTTTGATTATTTTTTTATGATGATGATGATGGTCCCACCTCTTACCCCTACAGTTTGAGCTGGACGATTTATGTTTAAGATAATTAAATGTAAACATTTTAACCAGGTTAGCAAAAAAACGATCTGGTTACATTTACAGATATAAACTCACTCTAGAGTTTACAGTTGCTTCACAGCGATATAAATGTGAAAAAGCTTAGGCGTCCACGTCTTAGTTCGCCTTTTTGTCCACCTAAAATATTCATAAGTATTACTAGCGATCAAGAGTTAATGAACAATCAACAAAGTTTCCTATTACACTAGCAACCCCGCAATCTGATGCTATCATAATTTTCAGCAATGTCAGGAATGGTCACGAACCCCCAACATTTGCCAGAAAACGTACTACTAACTCAAGGTATCTTCCAAATAAGCTTCAAAATTGCAGTTTTTTTTTTTTTTTCAAATGTTAAATTCAGTCCTCTTTATCCGTAATACGCGCGCGAGGCTCAAACCTTTGTAGACTACTATTTTTTCTACTACTACTATTAAATCAAATAATATTATCAAAAATCCATCATCACCATCGTGAATACTTATTACGCGCGATTTTGTACCTAGTCCAATTATTGTCATTATTAGATCTGTAAAACTTTTTGTACCATTTGTCCCTTTTCCGTTTAATACCCCGGACAGACTATGGCTTATATCATGTAATATAGGCTGGCTTGCAATGAGCACTCATACATCTAGTTTTCACTGGAAATCCTATATATGAGTGCTCATTGCAAGCCAGCCTATATTACATGATATGAGCCATAGTCTGTCCAGGGTATAAGACGCAAAAGATTCAAATTGCGCAGACGCAAAGACGCAAAAAAATTCGGTTGTTTCATACGTGCCCCTTCTCTCTATTTACTTGGTAACCCGTCCGTCGCAAGTCGTATCGCCGCCGATTGTGTACCACCGTACGCCTTCCTTCCCAGTTGGTGGCTGAAAACACCCCTACTATGCTTGATTCAAAATTTGCTAGCCTTCGTAATTGCTTCTAAAGAAATACATCACTTCTTTTTCTCGAATTTTGTTTGTTATTTTTGCTGGAACAAGTTTGGCTTATAATGTTTTTATAATAAAAACAAAAATTTCTAAATCTGTCAATTAAGATCGATGCAATAATCGAAATGTTTAATCCATGAATTATGCTTCAGTACCACAACTGGAGCCTTGCATATATGGCATAACACTGGTTCACTTGCCATAACTGGTGCAATTGTTCTGCCTATAATGATACATTTTCCATTTATATATTTTCAGAGAACGAGCACAAGTGATCGATTTTAGTATTCCGTTCTTTCATGGAGGTGTTTCACTGTTAGCCGCGCCCCAGACAAATCCCGACGTACCACTATTGGCGTTCTTGTTGCCATTTTCTCCAGAGCTCTGGATTGCTATTTTCACTTCACTGAATGTAACTGCTGTAGCCGTTGCTATATACGAATGGTTAAGTCCATTCGGCCTTAATCCTTGGGGAAGGCAGAGGAGTAAAAATTTCAGTATGTCTTCAGGTAAATCTTACTTAAAGCGTTTTTCAATTCTCGACATATTTTGAAGGGAAAGACATGGTCAAAACTAGAAATACTCAGAAGGAGAGATAGGCGGAGAAAACAAAATACAATTCGGCAGCAGGGATTTGTTCCTAAATTATCTTGCAACCCTTGCTAGAAGCTAGTATCACAAACGAAGTGACAGACGGAGCGGCTCGAAAACTTTGGTGACTAACCTGCTATTTCAATTTTTCAGTGTACCACATGGCAACACCACTACTACCACAAACGAAGTGACAGACGACTAACTGGCGAAGAAATCAATTAAAATAATGTGGTTCGCTGTAATAGAATTTTCTTAGAAGCTTGTGCCATCATCCACCAGATGGGATAGTATTTTTGTTTTGGTTTTGCTCAAAGTTGATTTTGTGTACAATGATTCTTTGACAGTGTGCAAAGAGTGCGTATCATTTTGTCATTTTTTTATGCATTTCAGTTTTGAGTAGAGTGAAAGAGATAGAACCAAAACATTCTAGTACATTTGGTGAAAATGCTAGTTCAATCATAGAGGTAACTCTAAGACAAGTAGGTCCCGAAGAAACGTGCTCAACTTTTTGGCTCACCTCTGGTACTATCTTCGGTCCCAAGCTTGTCGAATCACCCCTCGAAACATAGGAAAAACCAATAACCCCTCATTTTATCTGTCAAACTTTCATAGCGAATCAAAACAAACATTGCGTAGTACTAGAATTTCGACTAGAATAGGGTACGTTAATCGTTTGCTTGCGTACAGGCTACTAAAGTGGTGAGCCAATTTAAAATCGTTAGTTTCATATTGATTGTTGGTTCAATCCAGTAGTAGCACAAACGAAGTGACAGACGACTAACTGGCGAAGAAATCCATTAAAATAATGTGGTTCACTGTAATAGAATTTTCTTGGAAGCTTGTGCCATCATCCACCAGATGGGTAAGTTTTTTTTTGTTTTGATTTGAACAAAGTTGATTTTGTGTACAATGATTCTTTGACAGTGTGCAAAGAGTGTATCATTTTGTCATTTTTTATGCATTTCAGTTTTGAGTAGAGTGAAAGAGATAGAACCAAAACAATCTAATACATTTGGTGAAAATGCTAGTACAATCAACAATCAATACGAAACTAACGATTTTAAATTGGCTCACCACTTTAGTAGCCTATTGGTCCCAAGCAAACGATTAACGTACCCTATTCTAGTTGAAATTCTATTACTACACTATGTTTGTTTTGATTCGCTATGAAAGTTTGACAGATAACATCAGGGGTGTGTGGATTCATGCAGAACATGCAGGGGTGAGTGAAATAGCTTGGGACTGCTTGGGACCGTTGTTCTGGTACTGAGTGAGCCAAAAATAATAATGATTTTCTTCGGGACCCAGTGGTCTTAGAGTTACCTCTATGGTACAATCCAGTAGTAGTGTTGCCATGTGGTACAATCCAGTAGTAGTGGTGTTGCCATGTGATACACTGAAAAATTGAAATAGCAGGTTAGTCACCAAAGTTTTCGAGCCGCTCCGTCTGTCACTTCCTTTGTGGTAGTAGTGTTGCCATGTGGTACAATCCAGTAGTAGTGGTATTGCCATGTGGTACACTGAAAAATTGAAATAGCAGGTTAGTCACCAAAGTTTTCGAGCCGCTCCGTCTGTCACTTCGTTTGTGCTACTACTGGATTGTATCACATGACAACACTACTACTGGATTGTACTAGCATTTTCACCAAATGTATTAGAATGTTTTGTTTCTATCTCTTTCACTCTACTCAAAACTGAAATGCATAAAAAGATGACAAAATGACACACTATCTTTGCACACTGTCAAAGAATCATTATACACAAAATGAACTTTGTTCAAATAAAAACAAAAAAAACTAACCCATCTGGTGGATCATGGCACAAGCTTCCAAGAAAATTCTATTACAGTGAACCACATTATTTTAATGGATTTCTTCGCCATTTAGTCGTCTGTCTCTTCGTTTGTGCTAGTATTTCAAATGACTTTTATTTTTGATTCGATTTACGTGCAAAATAATAGTTGCAATATTTTGCACATTTCTTGTTGCCATTCATTAACCAGCGAAGATCCATAAATCAATAGAGTTAGAATATTTGAGAAGCACACAAAACATAAAGGTGATTGAATTTCTGTTCGATTGCAATACTCTCAAATTTATTCTAGTAAGAATAAGAAATCCTCGGAAAAAAACTAATTGGAATGTTCGATTGGCTCAGATTTTGACAGTTCATTTGGCTCAAAACATTCTCTCCGCCCATCTCTCCCTCTGAGTATTTCTAGTCAAAACGTTAATGCACGAATACTCGCGTCACTTTTCAAAAGGTCCTAAGTAACAAATGTAAACAAATCGAGTTAAGCGATACAAAGTATTGCTCTTCTATCATTGTATGTGATACAAAAACATCCGTCCAAATTTACTTTCATTTATTTAAGATAATCATTGATCAAAAATTGTCCAATGTACAGTTTGAAATGATGGGTACATGATTGTTACTTCGGTCATTCGGACTGCCTAACATGATTGGTGCTCATTTTCCAAAGGCGGGGCCAATCTAAAGTTAGGTACTATACTCTGAAATCTGTGAAAGGGAATCTAGTATCATGTAGACAAAACGTCCAATGTAACACTGATTGATTATGTCATTTAGAAAAATCGTCCAATGTAACATGTCCGATGTACAACTCGACTTGTCAAACCGTCATATGTGATTTTTTCTATGTTGTAGCATGAAATTCAAAGCAAAATTGTGATTTTACCGTTTCTTCTGAATTTTAAACGTTTTTATACACTGACTACATTAAAAATAGTATTGCAAAATGTATTGCTTTTAAACAGTTAAAATAATAATCTGTCGAACTTCAACTTCGATTTTCTCCAAATGGTGGATATGTTACATTGGTCTATTTGAAAAGTGACGCGAGAATAGTGTGACTTAGAATTGGGCTCCTCACAATACTTATTATTCCATTCTAGCATTATGGGTAATGTGGGGGCTTTTGTGTGGACATCTAGTTGCATTCAAGGCCCCGAAATCTTGGCCCAATAAATTCCTAATAAATGTATGGGGTGGCTTCAGCGTAATCTTCGTGGCATCATACACAGCAAATATTGCAGCTCTGATAGCTGGTTTATTTTTTCACAACGAAGCAGGCAGCTATAGTGGACCGGTATGTGTAGTTCATGAACAATTACTATACACAAATCTCATTGTTTGTTTCTTCTTTCAGCTACTAAAACAGCGGATTGGCGCGCCGGTTGCTACCGCAACAGAATACTACGTGCAACAAAACGATAAAATTTTATGGGAGCACATGAAAAAATACCAGCTGAGTAGCATCCAAGAAGGCATAGAGAGGTTGAAGTAAGTGTTGCACAATATGTATAAGTATTGCTGATTGCATCTTAAACTGGACTATCCCAAAAATGCAAAAAGTGTGATAAAAGTGCACGTTTCCGTCAAATCGTTAATGTCTTCGGAACACTTATTGCTTGCATCATAAGGAATAAGTGCACTCAAGACACCAAGACGAAGACCAACGTCCTCATATTCCGTCGTTTTTCCAACCGTTTAATAATCAGCGCCCGCACGTTTCCGCGTTTGCTCGTTATGTGGGTCTTCCATGTCCCACTGGTCAAGAATACTTCCCGTATGACTCTCACGACTATCCTTCCGCTGTGGGGGGAACGGCGTTGCTAAACAGAAGCCAAATCGCCGCACGTCATGCAGTCTTCAAGGAGCTACCATTCTTTAGCGGTGAACCGGAGGAGTGGCCGCTGTTTTTCGCCACATATGAGAATACGACAAACCTTTGCGGATTTTCGCCCGAGGAGAACATGGCTCGTTTACAGAAGTGCCTCAGAGGGAAGGCGCTGGAAGCGATGAAATGTCAGCTGATGCATCCTGGCAATCTGGAACAAGAACTCTCCACACTAAGGATGCTTTTTAGGCGACCGGAAATCATACTTCATTCACTGCTGCAGAAAATCAACAGTCTGCCGGCTCCAAAAGCAAATCGTCTTGGTACGCTTGTTGATTTTGCTCTGGCCGTGCGTAATATGGTGGCCACAGTTAAAGCATGTGAATTAGAGGAGCACCTATGCAATCTCACTCTTTTGCAAAACTTAACTGAGCGACTTCCTCCGATGATTCGGTTGAATTGGGCGACTCACCGACAGTCCCTTCGTTCCGTGACATTGGCTGAGTTCAGCAACTGGTTGTATAACCTAGCAGAAGCAGCGAGCGCTGTGACAATGTCGCAATTTTCGAGTTCCGACAGCAAATCTCGTCGTGGTCGGAAGGACGATGGATTCCTGAATGCTCACACCGAAACAGATCCCAGGGTTAAACAACACGAAGTCAGCAGTGGTTGCCTCGTCTGCCATGGGAACTGCGATGCAGTTGAAAGGTCCAAGAAGTTTCTTTCGTTCGGTCTTTCTGCTCGCTGGGATACACTTCGTGAGTGCAAGCTATGCCGTAGTTGCCTGGGCAACCATCGCGGTCCATGCAGGTCCGGGAAACCGTGTGGTAAGAACGGCTGTCAGTACAAACATCATCGGCTTCTGCATAACGATGCGAAGGATAAGCAAGAGGCGTCGTCATCCAGTTCAAACAACCGCACCAAAGGTCCTCCGCAAGGTGCCAATAGTTCACAAGAAGGCGAATCGTGCCACACACATCGAGGTGGAAACAAAGCTGTGTTGTTCCAGTACATTCCAGTTATTTTGTACCACAATCGAACTGAGCTGCGTACATACGCATTTCTGGACAGTAGATCGTCCTTGACATTGATGGAGGAAAGTTTAGCGAATGAATTGGATCTGCGCGGTGAGAAACATCCACTATGCCTGCGTTGGACTGCTGATACTTGCCGGTATGAAAAGGATGCCACGATTGTCTCTGTGAATATCTCCGGTACTCATAGCAGTAGTAGCCAGCACAGCCTGTCGGAAGTGTACACTGTTAAGGAACTGAAGCTTCCGTCGCAATCTCTGCCTGCACGCAAGCTGTCGGAAAAATACGCTCAACTAAAAGGGCTGCCGATAGAACCCTACAACAACGTTCGACCAAAGCTATTGATTGGAATGAGCAACGTTAGGGTGCTGCGAGGGAAAGGTAGATGAGCCCGTATCAATTAAGACGCGTCTTGATAGTACGGACGCGTCTATGGCACTTGTCCGTTGTTTGATGGTATGGCATTGAATAAAATTCCAATCAGCTTTCATATATGCTACCATTCCCACGATTCGGACGAAAGTCTACACGAAGCTGTCAAGAACTAATTCGCACTCGACAGTTTGGGCATCAGTGCGCAACGGAATAAGCTACTTTCTAAGGAAGATGAACGAGCTCTGACGAAGTTGCAAGAAATTACAACCTTCCAGGACGGGCGATACGAGGTGGGCCTACTCTGGAAATATGACGACGTGCGACGATATCTGGGATAGGTTCATGAGGTCGTCCAGGCACGATCATCGACGTTTTCAAGAACCTGAAACGGTAAAAATAATTAATTAATGTAGCGAAAAGATAGATTACAACCATATGTTCCATGCAGGCTCGTTACATTTGAAGATTAGCATCACATTTATGATACGGGTACAAATTACGAGAAACCACGAAACGTAAGCTATCTGTTCTCTGCTGTTCTCTGTCAATTTCTAGTTGTATTAAGTTCCTAATGAATTTCAGGAAATTTTAACCGTTCGGTTCCCGTTCCTTGCCACAATAAACGAGTTTAAAAAGTCGGAAACTTGTTTCTCTCGTTGCATACGCAACACCCGTCATCTGCAAGCTGCCTTAGCGAGCAATTTTCATCAAGACAACCATCAATGTCTTTTACATAAAAATTATAAAGAAGGGGGCTTAAACATGAGCCCCATGTAACTAATTCGTGAAGTTTTCGAGTTTCCATGAGAGAAGCTCATATATTTCTCAGACAAAAAGTTGCTCAAATAGCTGTTCATAATTGGTGAAAGCCCACTATCGTGGAGTTTATCCGAAAGGACATCGATATAAACAGAATCAACAGCTCCCTTAATGTCCAAGAAAACTGAACTCATTTGCTGTTTTTGCAAATTGCGTATCTGAAAGTAAACCATTCAACTCCACTCGTTTGTCTAGACGAAAAAGAATCATTTTCTCCAACAATTTCCGTATACAGGACAGCATCGCGAGTGAGAAAGAATCTTATTTATTCTACATTGATTACATGATTTGAAAAATTTCGTAATGGCATCTTTTATGTTTTTCCACTTAAAATATTCTCTTATTTTGAGATAAAGTCTGAGTCTACCTACATGTCCACCTGTAGGTAGTATATGATATTGCTTTAGGATATTCAGTTTTTTTTATAGTAAGGAAAGCTCCAAAAGCCCTGCCTGTCATTGTGTTGCGTGTGTTTTCTCCTTCTGGCACAGTGTGGGACTCTTAGCCACTAAAACCTTACTCGCCTCTAGCCACTATCCCCCTGGAACTCCCCTAGAGTATTTCATCGGGGGTGTGTGCTCAAGCACTTCTCTTTAGCTCAGCTATCCGGCGTTGCTAAATCGCTGATCATCTCGCCATTTTCGTTGCAGCTCCGACAAAATTTACGTCACTGCCTAGCTGACGACGCTCCACGTTCTCTCATCCCGGCACATTTCATTGACGACATTTCCCGCGCTAAGGGTCGGCATCTCCACTCGCACTGCTTCAAATCTTGGGCAGTCGAAGACCGCGTGCTCCGGCGTTTCGTTCACGTTGCCAAACCCGGACAGAGGGGTGACGTTGCGTGTCCGAAGCGATGCAGGTACTTCCTGAAGCAGCCATGACCAGACAGGAACTGCGTCAAAAGGAAGTTGACTTCTTCATGCTTCCTGTTCACCCAGGTTGAAATAATCGGTACTAGCCTGTGTATCCATCTACCGTTCTCCGCTGCGTCTACTCCTACTGCCACTTAGCCATCGACTCCGTTGCCACAAATGTCCGTACTCCTCTGGTATCTCTTCGCATATAGCACTCGGTGTCCTCCACCAAGGTGATGACGATAGGTATCATACCGGCGATAACGCATAATGCTTCCGTAGAAATTGTTCTGTACGCACTCACGACTCGCATAGCCATGAGGCGGAACGTACAGTTCAGTTTTCTTTGGTTCTTCGTTTTCAGCGCTGCATCCCAGGCTGGACCTACGTACCTCAGTATCGACAACGATACACTAGAAGACGCCTCTTGCTGCTGCTTGGTCCAGAGTTGTTTGGCATGATTCTAGCTATCGCATTGATGGCCTTCGCCGTCTTCTTACATGCGTAGTCGACGTGGCTATTGAAGCTTAGCCGGTCATCGAGTATCACTCCAAGATACTTCAGCACGCGCTTTGATGCTATGGCGTTCTTCCCGACGGTAATTTCTGCCCGCTGAACAGCTTTACAGTTACTAACCAATAGCAATTCCGTTTTGTGGTGGACTATCTGCACCTTTGCTTCTTGCATCCAGTTGGAAACCGTGTCGATCGCCTCGGTTGCCAGCATTACCACCTCTTCCAACGTCTCGTCTACTACCGCCAACACGACGTCGTCCGCAAATCCTACGATCTTGACTCCTTTGGGCAGCTTCAGCGTTAGCACGCCGTTTTACATCGCGTTCCAGAGCGTTGGGCCAAGGATGGAGGCTTGTGGCACACCCGCCGTGATCCGGATTGATTTCTCTCCCATGTCAGTCTCGTAGACTAGAACCCGGTTCTGGAAGTAACTCCTTATAATGCTATACAGGTAATCATGAACCCTCATTCCATGCAGTGCTTCGGCGATGGCCTCCCAGCTGGCGCTGTTGAATGCGTTCTTCACGTCGATCGTTATCACGGCGCAATATCGATCTCCTCTCCGCTTCTGTTTAGACGCTTTCTCGGCACTCTCGACCACTGTCCGAATTGCATCCACCGTTGATCTCCCTTTCCGGAATCCGAACTGCCTCACCGACAATGCATGCTCACTCTCCGTGCATTTCGTTAGCCTGTTGAGGATGATCTCTTCCAATAGCTTTCCGACTGTATCTAGCAAGCATATAGGCCTATACGATGCTGGATCCCCCGGCGGTTTTCCGGGCTTCGGCAGCAGCACTAGCTTTTGTATCTTCCATCGGTCCGGAAAGTGACCTTCATCCAGACAGTTCTGCAGCACTATCCTGAACATGTCTGAGAACGCCTGGATCGCCGCCTTCAACGCCACGTTGGGGATTACATCCGGACCGGGAGCGTCTCGGCACAGCTCCTTGAAGCAGTTTCACTTGCTCAGCTTTATCTCCCGTTTTAGAGCGGCCTTGGCTTCTCGAAACATTACCCTTCGCTCTGCTCTGTCTGCATCAGTTCTTGCCCGCTGAACGCG